TATATATATATATATATTTATTTTTTTTAAAAAGGACTCTCCATAGCTTATTGGGATAAGGCTACGAGAAAACCCCCAAAACAAGGGTTAAGGTTTTATTTTGAAAGATTCAAATAACCTGATGCAAATTTTAACTGGAAACATAAACAATATTTAGATTCTGCTTTTTGTGTCAATTTTGCCCTAGTTCTGATCTATAGCCAAAGGTTTATGAACTATGAAGACAAGGAAAGTTGGATAAGTAATAGATAGGGTGGGGAATGGATGGTCATTCCTTTAATACAATAATATAGAATTAAGTTAGGAAATCTAATTAGATCTCTGTTCTCTTTTTTCCAAATTATTCAGACCTGAAAGATACTGAAATTTCTTTCCCAGACAGCATAGGAACCCTGTCCACTTTGAAAACCTTTAGAGGGGTCTGAGAAACCCAAGAGCAAATAGATCTATTTAAATAAACACATTGGAAAACAAATGATAGGTAGTTTGAAGCCTTATATATAGACCTTTAGAGCTGCGTTCATCTGGAAGACAAACAGCAGCCTAGGTGGACAGGGTCTGCTGTTCAGCTTCCACTCTTTGGACACCGCACAGTCTTTGATAGCAGCCCGGAGAAGAGGAAGGGCCTTCTGCCGCAGGGCGTCCAGGGCCCTGAAGAGCCGATCGTAGGTCACATCGAAGGTCTGGCTGGGGTGGACCAACAAGAGGACATGGCACACCGAGAACATGAAGAGCAGGTGCAGGCAGTGCTGCATTTCCAGGTCCTTCCAGAAGTCGTGAGCGTCAGAATGGCTGACCCCGGAACTCAGGGACCGACATGCCCGCAGCAGCAGCCGGCTGTCGCAGACGGAGGACAACAGTAGGTACAGGACCCGGTTCTCCTGGTCGTAGTAAGCCTCGATGTGGCTGTCCTCCGAGTCTTCATCCTCTGGCCCCCCGAACAGAGAGAATATGTGTTTGTCCGTTAGCGTGTTGATGATGGACTCCTTTAAAGGTCCGGTCTGCGCGCTGCTTTTACCGAAGGTACCGACAACACACAGCCCCTCCTCCCGGTGCGCAGCGTCCTCCTGGAGCTCAGCCTGAAGCAAAGCGCCCAGGTTCACCGGAGGAGCCATGGTGGTTTCCTTCATGGTGGAAAACACAGGAGTAAAAACAGAAACGGAACCGTTTCCCTTCACATTTCCGGTCCCACACACTATAACGACCGGGTAGAAACCAGCGCTATTTATTTTTATTGCTAGTATAACAGATCATCTAGCAGGTTTTACATTTGAATTAATTGCCATTACGGAAGAGGAAGGGCCACTGAAAAAACAGAGAGTTTAATATGGGAAAAAAGTCAGAATTCTGACTTTAATCTCAGAATTCAGAATTTTCTCAGAATTCCGATTTTTTTCCTTAGAATTCTGACTTTAATCTCAGAATTCCGACTTTGATCTTAGAATTTTGACTTTAATCTCAGAATTCCGACTATAATATCAGAATTCTGACTTTTTTTTCTCAGAATTCTGACTTTTTTTCTCAGAATTTTGGATCTTAATGTAGATGGGCACCATGAAGGAAGAGATGTGGGAGCACTCAGTTTCGCTGACAAATATGAGGGTTGTTTGGGAGGGCCAGTAACACATTGGTGGAAAATTATGAAATTAGGTAACTTTTTACGTGCCAGAGGGGTCCCCAGTGATAAAATTTCATTAATGGAAAAGAAGAAGGTCATTAAAAGAAGAGAGCTAGTCTCTAAAACAGACATGGCTACAGCTTGATGCCAACATGTTTGTTTGGTGTCAGAATTCAGTCAGAATTCTGAGAAAAAGGTCAGAATTCTGAGATTTCAATCAAAATTCTGAGATTAAAGTCAGAAATCTGACTTTTTCCCCATATTAAACTGAAATAATATTTAAAAATCAGTTAACTTTTTTTTTTCTCAGTGGCCCTAATCCTCCTCTGTAGCCATAATGTTAGCTTTAGAATGGTCGCTTGATGATAATGTTAAGGAAAGAAATAGTTTTATTATTGCATGAGATAGTCAAACTGCATTATTAAGTATCAAATCTGGCAAGTCTTGTAGATTAGATTTGTTATTAAATATATATCACCTATTAGTTCAACTTCATAATGAGAAGTGTTTTGTTCGATTTGTCTGGATTCCTGCTCATGTTGGGATTGAAGGAAATGAAGAGGTAGATATATCAGCTAAACAGGCCTTAGAATCAGATATTATTAACTTAAGTATTCCTTTAAGCAAAAGTGAGGGTAAATCTATAATTTAGAATAAAATCTGTAAGGTTTGGCAGGAACATTGGGATAATCATGACACTAGTAGAGATCTATATAAAATTCAAAAGACTGTGGGGGGTAATAGTTGTACAAATAGAAAGCAGAAAGAAGAGGTAGTCATATCTCGACTTAGAATTGGTCATAGTGGACTTTATAGTTCTCTTTTCAAAGTAGGGGAACATGACACAGGGACTTGCAATCACTGTAATCAGATGGAAACAGTGGAACATGTATTATTAGAATGTAATAAGTATTCACAGGAACGTCAGCACTTAAAGTCAACATTAAATAGTGAAAAAATTGGATTTTCAATGATAAACCTTTTAGGAGGCAAATGAAGAGGGATTCTTTTAGAGGCTGTTCCATTGCGAAACTAACACATTTCTGAGAAAGTAAACTCATGACAACAGTAAGACATGGTGGTGGAGGTCCTTGTGTTTCAACAGTCTACAATGATTTCAACTGTTGCTTTTCTAAAGTCATGATAATATAATTCTCACATTCATTTAAATAGTACATACATTTCTGCATGAGGTTTCTAAGCGTGGCCTCCTGCTGTCACAAACTTTGCACTTGCACTCTTTCTGTCTTTTCAGAAGTAGCCTACTCTTAACACAGCATTGCAGGTAACCTTTGTTTTTTTCAAACACACCTTTTAATACTCTGACCACAAATGTGCAGTAGAAAGTGGTGTAAAGAGAAAATGTTTTGCCTCATCTGAGCACAACTCAAATTATGACTTGACGGTACAACGTGCACCCTTTTTTCCCTAGTTTTTATTGTCATTACATTGTCACAAGTACAGAGCAACGAAATGAACTGTCTGCATTTAAGCCATCCCCTTAGGGAGCAGTGGACTGCCATTGTGCAGCGCCCAGGGAACACCGTGCCTCCTAATATTATGTGAGGTACACTGTGATGAAGTGACCATGATCTGTTATTCTCTCACTGACACCAACCATACTATCTGACATTTGAATTCTTAAAATGTTTATATTTATCCTCTTTTGTTCGCCAGATTCTGAATGCACTCTTACAAGCATTGAACTTGTATTCATGCACCTCACCAGTGGTTCCCAATCCCAACCCTGGCTCTTAGGTACTCCTGTCCTGCATATTCTGTATGACTATGTTCCAGCTGACCTGATTCAAATAATTGAATGATCTCCTCGATCATTTATACAAGTCGGATGTGTGGCAGCTGTTTACATCTAAAATATGCAGGACAGAGGTACATACAGAGCAGGGTTTGGAACCACTGCTCTACCCTCTACAGCGTTGATATGGTCAGCAGCTGTTGAAGACCAGCATTTTAATGGAATATCTGCATAAATAATACAATTCATTAAAAGATTTCCAATAAAACAAACAATATCACCATTTCCAGCTTCTGAGACCGGTCATACAAATTAAAACAGCTGATAGGAACCCTCCCTCCCGTTTAAAGAAATTGCTGACATGTGCGGTTCTAGACAGGGCAGACAGGGGCCAGGGCCTCCGTAGAACAGGTCCCTGCTAATGTACTCAAAACAAAAACAGCATAAATTGCAATGTAAAGGCAAACATACTCTTTCCTTTTTATTTACCTTGTCAAACTAAGGACAAATGTATTTATTTTAATTTATTTTTGCAATGTAATACTAAATCAATTTTGTTTGATGAACAGAAAATACCTCGACTGATTCGTCTCTTGGATCTATTTAATATTTCTCCTTTACAATTCATTTAAAGAATCCATTAGAAGTTACAGTCAGCTGGAAGCTTTACCTACATTAAGAAAAGTTCCTATCTTTCATCTGTTTGATCAGGGCTTTTTTCCTTTGCCCCCATGAAAAAACATTGACCTCACCCTGGCCCCCTTTGTAATTGACATCAAATAGGAATGAAACATTACAGTTTCCTCTTACCTACATGGTCTGGTTAGTGTACCAGTTAGCCATAAGTCTCTCTGTATCTGAATGCAAAGATGTACATATGCAAAGATCAGTGCCCTGTTTAGCTTTAAAGCCAAACTGGTTTTCTTTAGAATTAATCAGATAATATGTATAAAATAATTTCTTAACTTTATTACATTTGCTATTACATCTTTTTAAAGTTTTGTTCATTTCATGCCCATTTCTGTTTCTGTTCTGAGTTGTTTAACATTGCCATCCATCATGTATTAGTCTAAATCTGCCTTTTTTTTTTTATTACTTTGTATGCCTCCTTATATATACTGAAAATAAATAAGATGTGTTTGAAATGAAAAGTGTAAAATAAAATTCAAACAACAGTATAAATATTTTAGAGTGCATTTAATTTTTTAATGGCATTGATAATAAAGTCATATACAGAGATATTTATGTGAATCTTACAGCTAAAAGGAAGTGCAGTCGAGGTAAAATTGTACCAAAACCATTCTGACAAATCACACAATCTGTGTGACACAAAACGCAAGCTTTAAAAGAACAACAACTGGACTCTTAATAGACAAGATCAGGGTATGTTTGCTTTTAAGGATTTGTGACCGTCTGATCCCTATGGCTGATCTTTTTTGTTATTTATGGTCAGCTGTGAAGTCATGTGATCCACTGTAAGGGGTTAAGCTCCACATCCGCCCGTTCCTGGACTGGATAAACCCTCCTCCCACTGAGGGATTACTGTCACTAATGTACAACAGGAGCACCTGCATGTTCTCAGAGCAAAGATAAGAGAATTCAATCCAAACCAGTAAAGCTTAAAGGCCCTGTGCAAAAGCCTCAGGTCATTTCATTTTTTGAATACTTCATAGAACGCTTCTTCATGTCACTATAACAGTCTTAATCAACAGATCCAGATATTTTTTTAAGGATTTTTACAAGTTGTCTTTGGGGCCTCATAACTAAAACGATGGAGTGTTTGTCTAAATTTCTTTAGCTCTCATTTCTAATGGTTACATTAATACAAGCAGATCAAATATCAGCTTTTCTAAGAAAATGCACACTACTTTAAATAAATATACATCTATCCATAATCTATGTATAAAACTGTAACTCTACCCTCACTTGACTAAAGTAGATAGAAACAGTCTGAAAAACTCTAGTTGTTTCTGGATGTGATGGTAAGACAGATAAGGCCTTTTCTTTGCATCTCTCCCAGACTGTTGGCTGTGATGTGGATTATAATACTGCACAGGATAATGTCAACATCCAACTTTTCTTGTTACCATTCCTGTTGTTGAAGCTCTCAATGAGATTCTTAATGGTGGTCAGCTATAATCATACAGACATGTATGAGGATCACATCTGTGAGACGGACGCCTCCATCGCCTCATATTTACACCCCATGGAAACGGGAACTCATTACAAAATAAGGTTACATTTATTTTTCTCCAAAGTACTGTGCTGCTTTACACATCTTTCTCATGTTTGCCAATTAAGGACAGGGGGTGTAGCTGCTGCTTTACAATGTTAGCAGTGTTTAATGTCTCATCTATTTAGTTAGATAATGATTCATTTGTTACACAAGCAAAATAAATAAACACCCACAGTAAAGTTGTTTTATGACCTGTATGATATTGAAGTCTGCCAACATGACAGCTGTCAAACAGGCCTTGACCAAATCTACAAGGAGGTTAAGCAGCAAAGAAAAAAAAAAAAAAAAAAAAAAAAAAAACAGAGCAGGCTTTTATCATGCATTTAAAGGCAGAGTTGAGCGGAAGGAAAAAGGATGTAAGATTACTTAGTGCAGAGATATTTTTTTGAGTCAGTGATGATTAGGGAACAGAGCTAAAACTAACAGCTATTTTGCTAATCAATTAATCTTTTGATTATTTTTCAGATAATTTGATTAGTACTTTATAGGGTTAATCAAATTAATCAGTGAAAGACTTTAAGTATCTAAGTTTCAAGCAAAGAGGGCACTGCAAAAAACTGTAATCTAAGT